TGAAGCTGTGAAGGAAGCTTTGTGATTGCAGGGGTTATTGGATGACTTGGGGATTGTATAGGATACCATCAGGGTAAAATATGATAGCATGTCAGCTATCTATTTGGTAAAAAACCAGGTGTATCATGCCCGGACAAAGCACATTGATGTCAGGTTCCATTTTATGCGAGATGTCTTGGATGATGGAGATATTATACTAGAGAAGATCCATACAAAGGACAATCCGGCAAGTATGTTGACCAAAGTTGTCACTAGAGTAAAATTTGGTCATTGTTTGGAGTTGTTGAACATTCTTCGTTGTTGAGGGCCTTTGGAGACCATTTGTGTAAACTACGTGAGACTTGATTCCTTAGGCAAAAAGATACGTAGGCAGTCAGATTGATGCACCCAATTCGATAAGTTGATAGCGACATGGTGGAGATTGTTAGAGTTCTCATTTGAGTTCTCGTCTTGTTGTGGATTGAGTCCATTATTATAGATTGAGTCCACTTCGTATTGGACGTAACAAGTGGGATGGTTGGTATCGGTGTCGGCTTAGTTTTGGAAAAACTTCGTCGAGGTAGAGAATTGAAGAAACTATAACGAGGATCAGAAAAAATGAAGACCGCGTTTTTGGTTGCAGGTCGGTCGACCATGAGCTTGAGGCCGGTCGACTAAATCCGTGCACATTACAGTGTTCAGAAAACACTGTTCGGGTCAGTCGACCGGGTCCGAAGCGCTATGCGGTCGCCCGAGGCGGGATGTTGTAGGAATTTACAAAGGTCCAAAAAAATCGAGCCCTTTTCGGCTGGGTCGGTCGACGCTAGCATACACTAGTAGAAAAAATGAGCATCTGACGACAGGGAAATCCGTCGCCAATGCAAGCAAAATCCGTCACCAAGTACACTGTTTCCGCGACGATATTCTCGCTCGGACCACCAGTAATCTGGTCGCCATAAAACATTGGCGACAGGGGTGGAAATCCGTCGCCGCAATGTTCATTTGGCCGACGGATAGGTAATTGGCGACGGAAAACATTTGTGGCCGAGCGGCTACAGCCGTCGGCCAAACCGTCATTGGGCGACGGGATACATTCTGTCGCAATGTAGCAGTTGGCGAGAGACGTCTCAGTAACCCGTCGCCAATGGTACAATTGGTGACGGGAATACATCCGTCGCCAATGCACTTGGCGGACGTGCTCATCCCACGTCACAAATGTGCATTGGCGACAGGATGTATTCGCGTGCGGCCAAATATGCATTGGCCGGCGGATGTATTCCCGTCGCCAATGTGCATTGGCGACGGGAATACACCTGTCGCCAATGTACATTGGCGACGAGCTCATACCCATCGCCAATGTACATTGGCGACATGCAATAACCCGTCGCCAATGTTTTCTGTCGCCAATACCTATCCGTCGCCAATGATCATTGACGACGGAATTCCCCGTCGCCAATGTTTATTGGCGACAGGATTATTGGTGACGGACTTCGCCCCGTTGCGAAAGTGTATTGGTGACGGATTTGTCCCCGTCGCCAATGTACATTGGCGACAGGTTTGTCCCCGTCACCAATGTACATTGGCGACGAAAAATGCCCGTCGCCAATGTACATTAGCGACAGGTGTATTCCCGTCGCCAATATAAATTGGCGACGAAAAATGCCCGTCGCCAATGTACATAATCAGGTAAAAAAAATTATTTCTGCATTGCAAAGCCCCCCAATCGGGAATGCGTACCTGTTACTACCATTATTCACAATATATTAAACAATACTCACAATATCACATTTATCGATTTGCATCTAACAATATTCACGTTCACCGATTCACATCCAACAATATTCACATTCACATCCAACAATATTCACATTCACATCCAACAATACTAACATTTACATTCATCGATTCACATCCAACAATATTAACATTTAACAATTCACATATATACATAATCAGGAGGTTATAATATGTTCAACACAATCCAAAAGATCACATAATCAGGAGGTCATAATATGTTCAACACAATCCAAAAGTTCACATAATCAGGAGGTCATAATATGTTCAACACAATCCAAAAGTTCACATAATCAGGAGGTCATAATATGTTTAACACAATCCAAAAGTCCACAAAAGTTACCAAAAAGTCTAACTCACCACTCACTCACTCATCATAGTCGTGGTCCCTATCGTCGTGATCCCTATCATCGGTGGCGGCTGCATTAGGATGTCGTACCGTACTGCTGCTTCCTACGGCGGTACCTCCTCTAGCCTAAAAAGAATGTAAATCAATATGAGAATATATTCCAAAATACTCATAATAAATACATATATATAATATGACATATATACCTCTCCACCACTTGCAGCTGCATGCTCATCAAATGCGAACACCATAATATCCGCGTATATAGACTACGGAAGCAAGTCCTTTACAGGTTGAGAATCGATGAGTCGCTGAACGACATCCCAAGTCGTTTGTGCACCACTTAACTCGTGCTTAATAGTGAGAAGAAAACTTAAAGCCAATGGAATTTCAACATTCTTCATCAAGTATTTTCCAATCTTACCCACGACATATGACGTGTCACCGTGTCGCGTCGATGTCACAGATTGGCTGCTAGGCTTATTGGTGGTGGTGAGTGTCTTAACTCTAGTACTTGACAGAGGCACTCTTCCTTTCTTTCTTGAGTGTAAACCGTAAGCTCCGTCGACAACTTCCATCCACTCGTCTCTGGTCATGCGGTTAGGCTCTACAGGAGTGTCCTCTGTACTTCGAGACTGCGTGACACGGGTGAAGACATCATTTTGAGAAGCTTCCAGCGCCGCCTGCATATCATATATCATAAAAATTAGAAACTTTGATGAAAAATCATTAAGTATATACAAATCTAAAATTAATCTTATACTTACGTTCAATTCATTAATTTTCTCCACCTTTTTGTCATTTCCCTCTACATTTTCATAGCCCTGGGGTGGTGTATAAGCTCTTTTAGCCAGAAGAGTCGGGGGCATAGTCAAAGCGTCCTGTGATATATTAAATTCTAATTTAAATGTAGGAAACTAATCACATGAAATCAGTTTTAATAATATGATCATACCGGGTTTTCGCTTAAATACTTATGCTCGATCTGAGCATAAGAAGTAGCTCCTAAAAAGTGATCGTATAGCTTTGATCTACGATTCACCGATGCCGTTTCACATATTTTTTACAAAATAAAGTATTTTTTTAGTATGTGCGATGATAATATATAAATGAAAAATAACGTGATGATAATGTCATAAATTAAAAATAATCTACCTTCTTCTCACCCTCCCACTCGATAATGAGAGTCATCCAATTAAATGGAGGAACTCTCTTATCAAGCTCATAGATCCTCTTCCAATCAGTAGATAAATTTGTGAAATATCTTTTCTTTAGATCACTCTTCCAAACTCGAATAAGCTTGGCCATTTTTGGGATAACATAATCCCAAGACTCTGGGTTGTCTTCAAGACAATAATGATCCTGCAAGTTACATGGCAAAAAAATTACACTATAAGAATAATCATTGTGAATTGTAAACAAAATAAGCAGCAGTATATTAAATAATTACCATGAGCTTCTCCCAAATCTTTTTTATGCATTTAAATTCTTGCTCCTCAAAATTATGAGCAATATTAATGGAGCGTGGATCTCTTATTAAACAGCCAATCAAGTTATTAAATATGACAGCCCAATGCCCAACAGGAATGTTGTCCTTCCACTCTAAAATGCCCCGGTACCCTTTCAGAGGTACTTTCGTCTTTTCCTCACTCCCATGCCTACCGGGTTTCTCATAATCTTTTTGGCCTACAAAGTCAAAGAGAAATAAATTTCTTATACACTTAAGTAAGCAAATAAGTATGAATTATCCAAAGTTTAAATGAAATTATTACATTTTTCCCTCATTAGATCTGACATAGCTTTATCTAGTCTCTGTTTTATGGCACGCTCCTTTCTTTTAATATCATCTCTCTTCAATTTGTAGTTCATATCACAATTTTTTGTAATTCAATAGCTTTTTCTGGTAGAGGGTAGGGGTGGTAAATGATCGAATCGAATCGAATACTAATGTGTTCATATTTGTATTTGTTTAAAATTATCGAATTCGAATGCGGACTCTATTATTCATATATCTAGTTTTTCGAATTCGAACTCGAATACTTGGTATTTGATAAATATTCATGAATATTCACGAATACTTATCGAATATCAAAGTATATTTATTTCGCTAAAGAGTTTAATTTTCAAATAGTATTAAAATTTATAAATAAAAATTATTTCTTTATAATATATGATGTATATATATTTAAATCAAAATTTTAATTAGAAAACAGATTTAAGATTATTTAAGTCTTAAAATCAGGATATAAAGCTCAAGTAGAAATGGTATGTAGGTTAAAAATATGACATCATATGTGCAATAATACAAGTAATATGATGTGATCAAATTTTAAACGAATATTTAATAGACAAACGAATCGAATATACATCTGGTTAAATTCTATTCGTTAGTAAACTCGAATACTAAAAAATATTTGTTTAGTGGTAAATGAACTACCGAATCGAATATGACCGAATACTTTTTCGAACAATTATCGAACTATTTGTTAATTATTTGGTTCATTTCCACCCCTAGCAACCTGTAAGTAAGTAGTTTTTACTTTTGTTTTTTTTAATTTAATATTTACCTAAGGAGGGTGGGAATTTATATTGGGATTTAATTTTCTATAATATTTTATTCGAGTTAACCTATTTGATAAGTTTTTTAATGCATACATGGGAATCATGGGATCACTAGGCGCAATATTTTCATGTAAAGAAACTATTTTAAGCTGATACATCTAGCAGGAGCAACTTAACAAGTGTAGTTTTTGGAGAGGTATTGCAGAGGCGACACCTGTTTATTATATTTTTGAAATTTTAATCTCCTTTTCCTGAACTTCTTTATGTTACAGAAGCTGTGTAAACACTTGAGTTGCCTTGTTCATGGATGCTACAAGGTTATGGGCTTCGTAGAGCCCATCTGCGACGTCTCTTTAGTCCAAAGCCCTTTGGGCTCCGGGCCCCATACGGCCAGAACCCAGATTTTGCAAACCTAGAAACAGCATCAGTTCTTTATTGAATTAATGTATTATTTTCATCGGGTCGGCGGTTCACGTGTAGGCCTGTCCAATCAGGCTTTGCCCCTGACGCGACCGGAGTCCACGCAGAGAAACTCGGGTTCGGGTTCGGGTTCGGGTTCGGGTCTGGGTCGGTGCGGACACAAACTGAGTTAGAGAGCCCAAACGGCTCCCTAAGTAACTATTAGAACCGGGTTGGGCTTAAAAGCGCAACTCGAGCTGGTTAGACCAAGCAACTTGGACACAACCAGGACTAGGTCGGTCCACCAGCTAGAAAACTAACTGTTGTGACCGAGTAGTCTAGACCCAACCTGGTTCGGGAAGACCAAAATAGCCAAAACGACTATATTTTTGGTCAAATGGCCAAAACACCCTCAAAAAATAATAATAAAGGCCAGAATTTGATGGTATTTTGGTCATTTTAACTGGGCTACCTCTACAAATAGAGGGGTTTTTCACTTATTTTTCTCATCCAAAAGTCATTGTTTTCTCTCTAATACTCTCTCTTAATCTATCTCATACAATAATACTCTCTCTTAATCTCTCTTATATTTTCCAGTACTCTCAAATACTCTCTAATGCTCTAATTTCCAATGTCTTCCTCATCCGAATATGAAAGGGCAAAATCCATCTCCCAAATTGAGTCCTATAGCTACTCCTTCTCTTATTGATGTCGAACCTGAATTTGGTTATGATCCAACACCCAGATTTTTAGGGACATATAAATAGATGTTTTGACTTAGGGTTTTGGATATCTTTTGTTATGTTCTTTTAGCCATCAACTAGCAACTATTCTAGGGTTCAAGTATTGAAGGAAGACATTAATCTCTTGTAGAAGATTGGATTGCAAGTTCTTATTTTGAAGATTTCAATTGAAAGACGGGTTAATTCTTTCCTCTCTTTGATTTATTTCTTCTTATGATTGATTTGCATAATTATTTGATGTCTTCTCTTATTCCAATCATGTGTGAGTAGATTTCTTGTCTAGGGTTGGGAAAGAACCCAACTTTTTGGTGATTGATGATGAATTAATATATGTTCTTGGTGAAAGTTTAGATCTTTAAACTTAATTTCTTGTGTTTTAATCTTGTTGATTCGCTTGATCACCGTATTAGCAATCATAGGTAATTAATTGAAGGACTGAAAGGTGAAGATTAATACCGGATCTCTAGAAATTAAGCAGGGAGCTCGAACCACGAAAGTAGGCTAGATTCCTTGGGGATTTGATTTGGATTAGTATAAATCTTAATGGGTTTAATTTAATCTTGATTCCACGAAAGTAGGTTAATTGAGATTGATTAGGCACGATCTTTAGACCTTGAAAGAGGCTTTAGATTAATTTAGGCTAATTCACCCTTTCTAGATTAAACCAACACCAAGAATTGAAATAATTCATCATTGAACACCTAAGTTGTGGTGATAACCCAATCCTAGTCCTTCATTATATTGAATTCCATCCGATTAGCTGTTTATTTTATTTCTTTTATTTAATCTCTTCTAATTCACTCATTGATTTAGCTAGTTGAATAACGTGAGATTTGGTAATTAACTCTAGTCCCTGTGGGATCGACCTTGATAGCTACAACGAGTCTGTGCGCTTGCGGATTTTGCCTATCAAGTTTTTGGCGCCGTTGCCGGGGACTACGGTGTTAATATTGAGTGCTTACGTTATTAAGCTAGACTAGATTTTTTTTTCTCTTTGCTTCTCACTTTCTTTTATGCAAGGGAATCAAACAGAAGTAAACGACGAAAACAATCCTGAACTATCGGTGACTCTTGCAAACATAAGAAGGTCTATAAGGGAGCAAAGGAACACAGAACAAGCTACGATGGGAGATCAAAATCAGCTTCTTAAGGATTTCGCAGCCCCAAATTCTCAAGGCACACAGTCAAGCATTACAAGGCCCAATGTTGAAGCTAATAACTTTGAGCTGAAACCATCACTGCTCTCAATGGTTCAACAGAATCAGTTTGGAGGAGGTGCTACTGAAGACCCGAACC